TTAGCTAAATAACGTTGATTTTAAAAAAGTAGTTCTTTCGTAGTCTGACTCAGCTACAGACGGACAAACCTAAATGTACAGGAGACAAAGATGTCTTCCGCTACAAAAAAAAAAAAAAATACATTTTAAGTCCATTAAGTGAATCTTTTGAAGTTGAATTTTGAATGGCTGCGGACTTACCCACAATGCACCGGTAGTTGTTATACAGGATCCGTCACCACAGTGACAGGCAGAATTGTTAGATTGTGTAGGATATCATTACAGAAAAGGGCAGTATCCTTCGAACACGTAATCACTTTTTACTAACAATAGTCTTTGGTTGGTTTTGTGTCATGTTTGATAGACAATGATACATGACACAAGGTTCTATCACAGATAACTCCGCTAAATTAGATAAAATGTCAGGAGACTTCAGAGCCTCTCATCATCCCCTCGGGAAAAAATATATCTACAAACTATTTTAGTTCATAGAAGTAATAAACTCAGTTTTAAGTCGATAGACAATAACCATTTATCGAACATTCTAGTATTTACTGCGGCATTTTAAAAAAACCTGTCAGACCGGAAGTTTGGATGTACAATATAAAATAGATCACGTAGCGCAGCACGCAGAGGAAAAATACGTTCTGACAAATGTATGTTTGCTTGGAAAGCTCTGTCATTTATATCGAATATAACTGCCATATCGAAAGAGTTCATTGGAGATAATTACTCATATCCATTACGTGTTTATGTCACTGTTTCGTGCATATTAGTATCTGTTTTAATTTCGGCGTTTATCTGGTTATATATACATAAATGACGTATGTATGGCCATGCGATGACCTTTTGACCTTCTTCTGTCGGTATACATTGGAGATGTGTATGTGATTAGCAGTAGATTCCAAGGACCTATATGTCACGATATTATGTATAATGTTGTTAATGCTACGACGTTTAGATAGGTCTGTACAGACACGCAAACATCATCATGACACCAGGAGACCAATGTCAGGCCTTTTCTAATGAGGATTAAGGTACCCTTACAGAAATTTATCAACAGCTGTACATACCGACAGAGTTGTGGATCTATATACGTCAGTCAATCTGTCACAATCATACTGTACGACAATGCGAGGAGAAAATCTAAAGCAATATTGGTCAGCTACCGGAAGTCGACAACGACCAGTAAGTGTCGATATGTGAAGTTCCCTGTCGAGTCACTGAGATGAATGGTCGACGTAATTTACGTTATTGGCGCCAAAGTGATGACCACGAGATATAGTGATAACGTTCTCACCAGTAAGCCAGAGGGACAAAGGTGACTGGGAAAACGTCCAATAAAAATCTGCAATAAATCTGATTAAGTTTGAATTAACCGTGAGTTAATACACTATTGCTTCTCCTCAGTAAGACATAAGACCTGAGCAAGTATTGACAGATTTACTGACGGGAGATGTACAAATGTAACTTCAACATCAGAGTTCCCGATACCTCTGTCGGTTAGAGCGTTGACCTCTCTAGGATCTGAGGTGGAGATCTAAAGTAGAGATCTGTGATAAAAATATGAAGTGGAGATCCGAGGTGGAGATCTGAACTGAATATCTGTGTTGGAGATCCGAGGTGGATATCTGAGGTGGAGATCTGTGGTGGAGATCTGAGGTGGAGATCTGTGGTGGAGATCTGAGGTGGAGATCTGAGGTGGAGATCTGTGGTGGAGATCTGAGGTTAAGATCTGAGGTGAAGATCTGATGTGGAGATCTGAGGTGGAGATCTGAGGTGAAGATCTGAGGTGGAGATCTGAGGTGGATATCTGAGATTGAGATCTGAGGTGAAGATCTTAGGTGAAGATCTGAGGTGGAGATCTGAGGTGGAGATCTGAGATTGAGATCTGAGGTGGAATTCTTAGAGGTGATCAAAGGTTGATATCTGATGTGGAGATCTTAAAGGTTATCCAAGGTGGAGATTTGAGGTGGAGATCTAAGAGGTAATCCGAGGTGCTGGTTTTGACGCTTCCTGTCTGTGACGGTTTGTATCCCTCAGGTATCGGAGAAACTGACCAGTGTGTGCTGACACGTTGTGTCCATGGACAAGACACTTCACCTGACTTGCTCTGGACGGCGATGGTCCTCCTGCATGTTCTTCAGTGAGGCAGTCACTACATGTACTAGGAGACTCGCCTCAAAACTACAGAACATTAGAAAAACGCGTGAAATCGAGGATCCCCTTCCCCTACCTCACCAATTATAGTTTGAACGCCAACCGAGCGAATGCGGATCGCTTTATAGAGCCGCGGTCTAACGCACGGCGACTTCAGACCTGTATTCCAAAAAGGGTCGATAGAATGTCAGAATAATTCACACTATCGACAAAGCTATAATGTGTCCGGTACATGTCGAAAACGGTTCACTTGGTTACATTTAGCGTACGTAAGATTAGTACAACAGCCGAAATGGAAAGTTTTGAGTTACGAAAAATCTTGGCCTGTACTGGCTAGGGAGAACAGTGATCTGAGACAAATTGCCTTCGTCAATTTATTTGGTCAACACTACAAGAGTTAACCCAGACAAAATGTCTGACGTATATCAGAGTCACAGATAAGAATAATAATTTTCACTCGATAAACAACAACAATAATCTTGTAATTCAGGTTTCCATCGCTTTCATTCGTGTTAAACCTTGTAACCTTTAATCAAACTTACGCTTTAGACCAGTTTTGTACATTGTATCATGTCAGATTGACGTCATATGAAAAATGGAACTCTTTTATGTTTTCATTTTACATGTGTACCTTAACACTTTAATGCTTCAATAAGATATCGCAGACATTTTTGATATTTTATTTATATTGGTCAGAAAATTCTTCTCCCAAATAGTTCAAAAAACATGTGTACTGTTCATTTATATCAGTTTATTGAAATGCTGGGAAAATATAGAAAACGCGAAAATTGCCTTGTCGTGTAATAAAATATTGGGTTTTTTTGTTTTTGTTTTCTTGTTTTTTGTTTGGTGTTTGTGTTTCGTTTTTCCCCCTTTGATGTCATGATGACGTAGGAAATGTACAACACATAGAATGATAAAATAACATCCCTTTCGATCCTGCCAATTAATGTACATATCACACTTTGTACATAAATTCTTCATCAATCGCGGTCAATTTAACGATAAAGACGGAGGTCATCTGATGAGAAAGTTAAAGATGAGACCTTGTTATAATGTTTCTGCAAGCTGACGAAAACAGAATCGACAAAACATCAATAAGACCCACCTCCACGTGTAGACCCCGGCAACCCTGCTCATTAGTCCGACAGTTGAGGTCGATTTCCAGAACGACAAAACAAAACCTATGACGTCATATAGAATGAGCCAATGAATCACTCTTTTTCATAAGGAAACATTTGTTCCGGTTCCCATTATCATTGTCCAACTGTCAACTTTAGCATTTTTTTTCAAAATCAGATATTTACAAACTTTTAAATCGCATTCTTTGATTCTGAAACCAACACTTTCTCAAATTTATTTGAGTGAATTTTCTCCGTTGCTATCCCATGGACTTCCTGTATACGACTTGGTTAACAACTATGAATGTGTTTTAAGCTTAATGACAATGGACAAAAACTGTCATTATATATCAGACAAAAAGAAAAAAAAATAACTAAGAATGACAATTTTATTTCTTGCGCTAACTGATGTCCTGTATTACGACCTTTACTACATACATGTAATGTGGAGATAATTCAAGTGATCAACACGTTCTTTACTGCAGCGCTGCAACATCTGCCATATTGAAATATTGGAGAAGGGTATTAAAATAAGGAAATGAAGCTAAGAAGCCTGTCTCCAATCCGGATATAGACATTAGTATATAATCAAGAAAACGACTTCGCTTAACTCGAGATGAAGTTAATTGTGACGCAGTGCGCGATCACCAAGTTGCACGTGTACTTTAGCTTGGTTAGAACTAAACTATTGTGAACGACGCGGAAATTGAGGTCTACTGTTTACGGTTTTGACTTCAGCCATTCTTCAAAAAATAACAATGTTTTTTACTAGTGCCTAAAGCGTTTCCCATTATCCTCTGTTTATCAGTACGGTACATACCCTTCTTCCGTTGCTGAAAGCGTTTTTCTGCATTTTCGCAGTTTTTAATTTATCTACGTTGTTTTTCAACTTATTTTTATTGATTTATGAGTACTTTCATGTCTTTTTATTCATTTCTACTCAATTTAGGAAACATTACCTCGTATTGAAATACAGTCAACCGTATTTAAAACAGCAACTACAGTCATACATAATCACGAGGTATATGTAGGTCTACAAGATCTACACATCTCGTGGATTTATGTAATTGATGATCTCGTGGATTTATGTAATTAATTATCTGGTGGATTTATGTAATTGATGACCTCGTGGATTTATGTAATTGATGATCTCGTGGATTTATGTAATTGATGATCTCGCGGATTTATGTAATTGATGATCTCGTTGATTTATGTAATTGATGACCTCGTGCATTTATGTAATTGATGATCTCGTGGATTTATGTAATTGATGATCTCGTGGATTTATGTAATTGATGACCTCGTGCATTTATGTAATTGATGATCTCGTGGATTTATGTAATTGATGATCTCGTGGATTTATGTAATTGATGACCTCGTGGATTTATGTAATTGATGATCTCGTGGATTTATGTAATTGATGATCTCGTGAATAATATTCCTTTGATAGACCTACATTGACCCTTAAAAACTTGGCTTACATATCTGCAATTCACAAACACAAAAACAAATGAGAGTTTTTTTTAACGCGTTCTTGAGTGTGCTGTGAATTTTTAGGTCACATTTATCAACGCATGCGCAAAGAAAAGAACAATGTTATCAAACAAACATTCCCTTAAGAAATACGTAATATAGAAAAAGAATTATGATGATTGTTAAGGAGTAAGAAACGAAAACTATTTGTAATTAAGCATTTCCCTTTGAACAGACTGTAAATACACTCTGAAACATCATACTTACCGCTCTATACAGACAGATACCAGGGACAAGATGGAGGCGTACAGCGATACCACTAGAACAAAACGATTAAATTTACAAAGGACAGGTCCAAGCACCCAACCTCGATTTAACATCACTTGGACGATTTCCGGTATCCCGAACACCATTATCAACCAATCAGATACCGCCAAATTCATGATAAAAATGTTAGTGACAGATTGTCTCATCTTTCGGTCCAACAGGACGACAATAACGACAAGACTATTCCCGACGATGCCGACGATTTCTATGATGAAAAACAGCAAGGAGAGACCGACCACAGCCTGGACTGATGTCGTGTGAACCACATGTAGTGGCATCTCGACTGTAACGTTAGAGTCTGCATTCATGGTAACGTTACAACCAAGATCGTAGCCGTTCAGAGTGGAGTTAATACCATGAAATATCTTTCCATTCAGCATCCCAAAAGAACAATTGAATTCGGAATTTGATGAAATTGAAGTTGTAGTTGATTCCATTGTCGAACACGTTTTCCATCTGAAATGAAAATGGAGAAAAATATTCAGAAAAATCTGGTAAATGTTTATCCGATAATCCGGAAACAGCGTTTACCAATCTACAGGTCACCGTGTACAAAACTTTCTGTAAATCTTCTAGAATGGCCATAATTAGGTGTAATCTACACAGAATCAGGCCCCTGAGTAAATATACTGTCTTAAGTTGTAAACTCATTCGTAGGTGAAAGGTAAATTGTTTAGGAAACTGTCCATTAATCTGTTTCACCTACATAACCGAAATATTCCGAGTGTCCCACTTTTGATCGTATATTTATGCTGGCGGGGATATCTACGTGCAAGAGGTCTCGTTTAAACACTTAGTCTTGCTGGTTCAATTAACACTCATCAAAGAGAATTTACAAGTTGATGCTTTGAATAATACAATAAACTTAATCTGTCATTAATTATTTTTTCAAGAATCTGATGATATTTCAAATAATCTGCCTGGCGTCATGCGTATATACCTACAAATGCAAACAACTTATATGTTTAGTTTACAAGGTAAATTGCCGAAACATTCCGCGCGTGGCCTTTATCAAACCCAGCCTAACAAGCATACTGCTTGTACGATCACTTCGGGGATACGCACCACTATACTGTAAACAGAATCTGACAAACCGAACAACGATCGAACAGATTTCATTAACAGTTACCAGACAGAAGTCCCTGATACTGGCACACATCGATACCCTACAAACATAGTATTTGACTTCATAAATATTATTACTGTCTATTTACATGACATGTTAAATCCGTGCTATAGTGATGTCAGGTATCGGCTAAACCAGTAATTCTCACCCGTGGAGATTTACGGTTCTGATATACATTATGTATCTGATAACTGATTTTTAAGATATTTGATTTTCGTTCATTTGCAATCGTTGGGGGCGTCAAAGAGAGAGGGTTGTCTCAGACAGAACTCTAAAATAAAAATATACAAATGTCTCATTTACACTAGAAAAATTGTAGAAAGTGTAAATTAGCGATATGTTATCATTATTCAACTGAAGGAAATAAAAAAAAATTCTTCTATTAAATAAAATATCGTCATCCCTACTATAGATCAAAAAACGTCATTTCAATGAAAAAAATGAAGAATTCTACTATTTGCGGATATTTACACTTCTATGCACGCACAGAAAAGTAAAAAAAAAATCTTTGATTAATTCTAATGCGCTCGAGATGTAACACGACTTTTGATTGGTCAATGTTAGAACTTGTGATAGTAATGTATAAACAAAAGTTTTTCTAATGCAAATTTCAAAATACGGTAGTGTTGTACGGCAGTGTTGTATGGCAGTGTTGTACGGTAGTGTTGTACGGCAGTGTTGTATGGCAGTGTTGTACGCAGTGTTGTATGGCAGTGTTGTACGGTAGTGTTGTACGGCAGTGTTGTATGGCAGTGTTGTACGGCAGTGTTGTATGGTAGTGTTGTACGGTAGTGTTGTACGGCAGTGTTGTACGGTAGTGTTGTATGGTTGTGTTGTACGGTAGTGTTGTACGGCAGTGTTGTATGGTAGTGTTGTACGGCAGTGTTGTACGGCAGTGTTGTACGGTAGTGTTGTACGGTAGTGTTGTACGGTAGTGTTGTACGGCAGTGTTGTACGGCAGTGTTGTACGGTAGTGTTGTACGGTAGTGTTGTACGGCAGTGTTGTACGGTAGTGTTGTACGGCAGTGTTGTATGGCAGTGTTGTACGGCAGTGTTGTACGGTAGTGTTGTACGGCATTGTTGTACGGTAGTGTTGTACGGTAGTGTTGTATGGCAGTGTTGTACGGTAGTGTTGTACGGTAGTGTTGTACGGCAGTGTTGTACGGTAGTGTTGTACGGTAGTGTTGTACGGCAGTGTTGTACGGTAGTGTTGTACGGCAGTGTTGTATGGTAGTGTTGTACGGCAGTGTTGTACGGCAGTGTTGTACGGTAGTGTTGTACGGCAGTGTTGTACGGCAGTGTTGTACGGTAGTGTTGTACGGTAGTGTTGTATGGCATTGCTGTACGGTAGTGTTGTACGGCAGTGTTGTACGGTAGTGTTGTACGGTAGTGTTGTGCGGCAGTGTTGTATGGTAGTGTTGTACGGCAGTGTTGTACGGCAGTGTTGTACGGTAGTGTTGTACGGTAGTGTTGTACGGCAGTGTTGTACGGTAGTGTTGTACGGTAGTGTTGTACGGCAGTGTTGTATGGTAGTGTTGTACGGTAGTGCTGTACGGCAGTGTTGTACGGTAGTGTTGTACGGCAGTGTTGTACGGTAGTGTTGTACGGTAGTGTTGTACGGCAGTGTTGTACGGTAGTGTTGTACGGCAGTGTTGTATGGTAGTGTTGTACGGCAGTGTTGTACGGCAGTGTTGTACGGCAGTGTTGTACGGTAGTGTTGTACGGTAGTGTTGTACGGCAGTGTTGTACGGTAGTGTTGTACGGCAGTGTTGTATGGCAGTGTTGTACGGCAGTGTTGTACGGTAGTGTTGTACGGCATTGTTGTACGGTAGTGTTGTACGGTAGTGTTGTATGGCAGTGTTGTACGGTAGTGTTGTACGGCAGTGTTGTACGGTAGTGTTGTACGGTAGTGTTGTACGGCAGTGTTGTATGGTAGTGTTGTACGGTAGTGCTGTACGGCAGTGTTGTACGGTAGTGTTGTACGGCAGTGTTGTACGGTAGTGTTGTACGGTAGTGTTGTACGGCAGTGTTGTACGGTAGTGTTGTACGGCAGTGTTGTATGGTAGTGTTGTACGGCAGTGTTGTACGGCAGTGTTGTACGGTAGTGTTGTACGGTAGTGTTGTACGGCAGTGTTGTACGGTAGTGTTGTACGGTAGTGTTGTATGGCATTGCTGTACGGTAGTGTTGTACGGCAGTGTTGTACGGTAGTGTTGTACGGTAGTGTTGTGCGGCAGTGTTGTATGGTAGTGTTGTACGGCAGTGTTGTACGGCAGTGTTGTACGGTAGTGTTGTACGGTAGTGTTGTACGGCAGTGTTGTACGGTAGTGTTGTACGGTAGTGTTGTACGGCAGTGTTGTATGGTAGTGTTGTACGGTAGTGCTGTACGGCAGTGTTGTACGGTAGTGTTGTACGGCAGTGTTGTACGGTAGTGTTGTACGGTAGTGTTGTACGGCAGTGTTGTACGGTAGTGTTGTACGGCAGTGTTGTATGGTAGTGTTGTACGGTAGTGTTGTACGGCAGTGTTGTACGGTAGTGTTGTACGGTAGTGTTGTACGGTAGTGTTGTACGGCAGTGTTGTACGGTCGTGTTGTACGGCAGTGTTGTACGGTAGTGTTGTACGGTAGTGTTGTATGGCAGTGCTGTACGGTAGTGTTGTACGGCAGTGTTGTACCGTAGTGTTGTACGGTAGTGTTGTACGGCAGTGTTGTACGGTAGTGTTGTACGGCAGTGTTGTACGGCAGTGTTGTATGGCAGTGTTGTACGGTAGTGTTGTACGGCAGTGTTGTATGGCAGTGTTGTACGGCAGTGTTGTACGGTAGTGTTGTACGGCATTGTTGTACGGTAGTGTTGTACGGTAGTGTTGTATGGCAGTGTTGTACGGTAGTGTTGTACGGTAGTGTTGTACGGCAGTGTTGTATGGTAGTGTTGTACGGCAGTGTTGTACGGCAGTGTTGTACGGTAGTGTTGTACGGTAGTGTTGTACGGTAGTGTTGTACGGCAGTGTTGTACGGTAGTGTTGTACGGTAGTGTTGTATGGCAGTGCTGTACGGTAGTGTTGTACGGCAGTGTTGTACGGTAGTGTTGTACGGCAGTGTTGTACGGTAGTGTTGTACGGTAGTGTTGTACGGCAGTGTTGTATGGCAGTGTTGTACGGTAGTGTTGTACGGCAGTGTTGTACGGTAGTGTTGTACGGCAGTGTTGTATGGCAGTGTTGTACGGCAGTGTTGTACGGTCGTGTTGTACGGCATTGTTGTACGGTAGTGTTGTACGGTAGTGTTGTATGGCAGTGTTGTACGGTAGTGTTGTACGGCAGTGTTGTACGGTAGTGTTGTACGGCAGTGTTGTATGGTAGTGTTGTACGGTAGTGCTGTACGGCAGTGTTGTACGGTAGTGTTGTACGGCAGTGTTGTACGGTAGTGTTGTACGGTAGTGTTGTACGGTAGTGTTGTACGGCAGTATTGTACGGCAGTGTTGTATGGTAGTGTTGTGCGGCAGTGTTGTATGGTAGTGTTGTACGGCAGTGTTGTACGGCAGTGTTGTACGGTAGTGTTGTACGGCAGTGTTGTAAGATAGTGTCCTTACCATATCGGTCAGATCACGGTTTCTCTTACAAGACAAAATTCATTTTGACGCAAGCTACTCTTCTCTTTTAATGTAGAAACCCCACACACAGAACTCTCGTCAACATTTACACATACTACAGAACTCTCGTCAACATTTGCACATACTACAAGACTCTCGTCAACATTTACACATACTACAAGACTCTCGTATACATTTACACAATCTACAGAACTCTCGTCAACATTTACACATACAACAGGACTCTCGTCAACATTTACACAATCTACAGAACTCTCGTCAACATTTACACATACAACAGGACTCTCGTCAACATTTACACATACTACAGAACTCTCGTCAACATTTACACATACTACAGGACTCTAGTCAACATTTACACAATCTACAGAACTCTCGTCAACATTTACACATGCTACAGAACTCTCGTCAACATTTACACATACTACAGGATTCTCGGCAACATTTACACATACTACAGGACTCTCGGCAACATTTACACATACTACAGGACTCTAGTCAACATTTACACATACTGCAGAACTCTCGTCAACATTTACACATACTACAGAACTCTCGTCAACATTTACACATACTACAGAACTATCGTCAACATTTACACATACTACAGGACTCTCGTCAACATTTACACACACTACAGGACTCTCGTCAACATTTACACATACTACAGAACTCTCGTCAACATTTACACATACTACAGAACTCTCGTCAACATTTACACATACT